AGGATGAACATCAACTGGCAAAAGGGCAGGAGGGAATCTTCTTCTGTCCTGGAAAATTTCCCTAATTTGATCTCAGAGGTTATATGAGTCAATATCCAGATGTAAAAACTCATTGGGGTTGTACACTTTAGTACACACCACTTTATTACATGTGTGTGAGACGAAAGTAAACACTTTATAAATGTCATTTTCAAAGGTACTTCACATTTTACCTACTGGCCTTCAGAACGACTGGTACTTCCTTGCCTCTCATCTTGGAATACTCTGCTCTCCAGGGCCCAGAGCCCTTGGAGAGGTCAGACTGGGTGTGCACAGTCTGTACCCTGCCCCTAGGGAAAGATCCCTGATATGCAGGAGATGACAATCCATGAAACGGAAGCTAAACTAGAGACTTCACCAGTTCTATAGATGGAGAAATATTTATGAGGAGCAAAGAAATCATTTCTCTAAAGAACATGGTAAAAATTTTTCTATTTTTGCAAACACCAACTTTCTCTGCTCCTCAAGGGTATCTTTGATGACCAAAATTCGCGTGTCAGCTCGTATACGCATTTAAGAAATCTCAGGCGTTTCTCTATAAAGGAAAACCTTGGGCCGGATTCCAAACACTTGTGGGAACCACTGATCCCCACGGTCCCAAGTTGGCGCGCTCTCGGTTCCCTCACGGAAGCCCACCGCTGTGCACCGAGCGTCCCCGGAAGCAGAAGTGTGCGTCCTGGGTCGGCAGCTGTGGTCGGTGCCTTCATGGTCCGATGTGAGGTCGGTGTGGCCCTGTCGCCGGTGGGGCTGCTCCGCTAGCGGGTGACCCGGAGCTCCTGTCCCGGGTCTGAGGGCGCTGCGCCCGCTCCCCGCGCACTCCTGGTCTCCCAGAGCCTCGGGACTCCCTGTAGCCGGGGAGCCGCCGCCGCCTGGCCGCGTCCTGCTGACTCCTCTGGGCTCTCTCGGTGCGTTCACAGGTGAGGTCGTGGGGACCCTCGCCGCGCACACGCGTGCTTCTCGGGGCAGCAGCGTCAGCGGCACAGGGAGCGCGTGAGAAATGCAGGGTCCCGGGCCTCACGGGCGCCGGGGTCGCTCGCCTGCGTCTCCGTGCCCTGCCCCCGCCTCCCGTCCGCCGCCCCCGCGCCCCTTTGTTCTCTTTTCTTTTTCTTTACAATCCAGTCTCCGCCAGACTCTGCCACCTCGTCTGCCACCGACCCTAAGGGGCACACACTGAAACACGCGCTTACACAAGTGCTCACACACACAAACACTACACTTTGAGCACTGGCTCTCACAGGTTCCACTGTATTTTCTCCCGTTCTGTAGGTTGGCTCTTTGTTGACAGAGCCCTTTGGCGTGCAAGATTTTTAATTTGTTTTGTTTTCTATTGCTCGTGCTTTTGATATCATATCTAAGAATCCATTGTTGAAAAATAGTGTGCGGAGGAAATAAGTGTCCTTATTTTTTAAAATCGTAAAAATATTGCATGTATCATAAAGGTCAAAATTGCACAGAGTGAAAGTGATCATTAAACACCGCTTCTAACCTCAACATCGGTAGAAAAATGTGGTGCTTTTTATTTTTCCTTCTGCTTCCCTAGAGATACATATCATAAAAGTACTCCATTTTTGATCTGGAGTTCGCCTTGGAGACGTGACTGTTAATGTAGTCACTTTGTGTCAAATGCAAACTTTGATTCAAAACTACTGAATTTTCCTGCCCCTTAGATAACACCACAGTATCAACTTCCATATTTCTAAAGGCCCAAACCATGCCAGAACTGTGCTTTTCCTTTCCTTTAGTTGAAGCTTCAGAAGTGGGAATGCAGCCTGTTTCAGAGGTCACGGCTGGATTCTTCGTGGCCAGGAGGAGAGCCCACATGTTGAGATACGGTCTCTTGGATACCCGTGGACTTAGACACCAAGCTGTTCCCATCGTCCATCTGGGACACTAAGGACTGTAAGGCTCTGAAACCTAACATGCCGAAGACAGAGCTTTTAAAGTCTCACCTGAACAAATCGACTTCTCACCTGGCTTTCCCAACCAGTAAGCAGCATCAATCTCCATTCACTAGATTAGGGGAAATAGTCCAAGCTACCCTGAGAGGAGAGCTCCCTTATGAAAGCAGCCTCTGAACTTCCGTCTACTTTTCTTTTGTCATAAGAAGGTACACTCTCCTCCCAGCAGCAAGAGGCGTATTTCAACAGTGTAAACCAAGTAAAATGCCAGTCACATATAGAATAAGATCCACATATTTTATGTTGGCCAGCAAGATCCTCCGTGTTCAGGCTTATTAGTAGCTCTCTGACTTAAATTTATAACACCCTCATGTTAGATGTTATTAGGTGCTGTCGAGTTGGTTCCGACTCATAGCAATCCTATAGGATAGAGTAGAACTGCCCCATAGGGTTTCCAAAGAGTGGCTGGTGGATTTGAACTGCCGACCTCTTGGTTAGCAGCCGAGGTCTTAACCACTATGCCACCAGGGCTCCCATGTTAGATACTGGCACATTTTAAAAACACTTTTTCAAAGATATCAAGATTTCCCCTGCCTTTCAGCCTTTGCACCAGCTGTTTTTTTTTGAGTAGAGGAAAACTTTTTAACCATAGGAATGCAGTAATTCTTATAATTCAGGTCTCACTTCAGATGTCACCTCCTCAGAGTGCCGTTCCTGTTCCCTCAGTTACTGCCACTCATTTCTATGTTTAAATATTGCTGTTTTCACCATGAGGTAAATCCAGTTTAGACTGACATTCACCTTCATCATGTAAGTACAGATGGACTGAGTTGAATGTTACCTTTGCTTTCATTGTTCTATTTCCCTACGTGACAGGCTTCCAGCAAACAAAAAGCTGGAGCTCTGCATTGTGCTGATGGCAGCTTTCACACCCTTTCTGCTGTGTTGGTCGCTTAGGGTTCTGGTGAGTCCAGTAGAGCTTGGTTGGCAGCCAGAGGTTGCTGTTTCAATTAAAATTAATTAAAAGGAAAAGTCCAGTTCCTTGGTAGCACTATTCATACGTTCAGTGCTAAATAGACTCATGGTACTAGTGGCTGCCATATTGGACTGTGCAGAAACAGAACCGTATTCACAGAATGTTCCCTTGGACAGTACTACTCACGAGCATATACAAGAGGCGTTAATCTGTGTGTGTCTGCAGTGATCAGTGTAGTAGGCCAGAGAGAACAAGAACCAAATACAGAGTGTCTGCCCATAGGTATATAGTCTAGCGCGGGACACAGTTTTAAATAAATAGGGAAAAACCAAGGACGACTAATACTGTAATAGACGCACCTAACCCGAGAGTGCTGTTAAACTACTTGAAAAGGAAAGTCAGTTTTATTTGGCTACATGCATGGTTATGTAGGGTTGATTGCGTGTTATATGGTTCGGGGTAGTACGAGTATTTCAATTGGGAAAATTGAGTGTGTGAATCCCTGAGGCAACAGAGAGCCCAGTATCACCTATTCTTGATGGAAGTCAGAGGTGACCGAAGCCGAGAAAACAACATGTGGGTGGGGGGGGTGTCGTGTGAGGCAGTCTTGGAGGAGGCAATGGCAGCAGGTCATTCAGAAGCATGCTGACTACTCTGGGCTTTTTGAAGGCCAGGGGACAGCCACTGATGGGCGTGAAGCAGTTCCCATCCTGCAAATAGATTTTGGAAATGACAGCCGTGATTGAATGACATTAGGCAGGGGCTTATTATGAACAAGTTAAGAAGACTGAGGAGGCCTAGGCATGGAAATTGGTTGCGAATCAGGAAGATAGTGCAATGATGTAGATGGCTCAAAGGGCATCCGTTCATACAGCGCTCATTACTTGAGTTACAGGCTTAAAATCAGTGAACGCTTTCCACCCTTGAATGTCATTATGGATAACCCAGTCATCTTTTTAAAATGTGGGTTTTGGTTAAGCAATTCAGGTGTGGGGCTTGAGATTCTACATACTGAACAATCTCCTAGTTTATGCTGGAAATAAAAAGTCTAAAGGAGGACATGAATTAAAATTAGAGAGTGCTGTTAGACAAAACAGTAAAAGGAAGGATAATGCTTAAAGCAGAGCTACTGGTGTAAAGATCATGCGAGAGAGAGAGAGAGAGAGAGAGAGCGAGCGAGCAAGAACATTGACACTGAGACCCTGGAGTGAAAGTATAGGAGGCAGCTTGGACGGCAGCAGGGTGGAAAGAAATCGGAACAGAGGGAGGAGACAGCACCTTGGAAAACTTAATGATTCTCTGATTTATTTGTTGATCGATTTATTATAAGATAAACAAAGTGTTTGTGAATCCTTCCAGATTTTTCAGAAGATTAGGGACTGGTGGTATCATGGTTTGAGAACAAAGGGGGAAAAAATCAAGTGGAAGAAAGAAATGTTAATTGCAAAAGCAACAGAAAAATTACTGGTCACATATTGCAGTGGTGTAAATGAAATGAAAAAAATTTTAAGAAGCACTATAGAGTTTAAACAGCACATTAATTAAAAATGAATGAACCATGAGTTCTTTGACAAAACTTGAAAACTATGTTCTTCCTGACAATTCACCCACATTAATATCAAATAACATTGAGTGTGTTGATGTATAAGGGACAAAGTTACACAGGTGAACCCACAACTTCACCGTTGGACCCCTGACTCCCTGGAGGAAATCAGGTTCAAGTTTTGCAGCCTGGCCAGGCCTGGTTGCTTCTCATGCTCTGGGATAAGTAAATTCCTCCATCTGTGACCTTGTTGCAGAAAGAAGAGGCCCTTGGAGCTGCATGAAGAATGCAGGCGTGTGCTCTGGAGGCTGGAGCCTGTTCTGCCTTCAGTGCAAATGCCCTCAGGGTGGAGCATGGCCCTGAGCCTGGGAGGAGGCCAGAGACCTGTCACTCCCTGCTTAATACTATTTCCTCCCCGTCCTTCTTCCATTTCAGGTCTCAGGTGTGATGCAAGGAGAGCGAGTCCAGTCCCGGCAGATGGAGACTTAGAGCAACCATTATGCGTATTTGTAATTCAAGAGGAAGTGTTTCAACTGCTCTCTGGTGTGTGGACCAAACATTATTCATCTGCCTCCAAACTGCCCACTCCCGTCCCTCTTCCTGACGTGGCTTCATGGGCTCAGAGACGACATTCCCTTAGACTTCCAGAAGCTGGAGAAGGAAATGGTGAGTTCTGCGGAGAACTGGGTTCTCCTTACTGTAAGTGGGTGAAGCTGGATGTGAATTACTGGGGGGAGCAGCTGTGTACTACAGGACTGTGGTTCCTCAGTGAAAAAGAAAGGTGGCAGAGGAGGCCAGGGGACTGAGCCCTGGGAGGCACACTGAGGCATTGCTCCACTGTCACTGGACCCTTCCTCTGTTCACATGTGGCTTTTCAGGATTTGGATGCCTGGGGTCACCTTCCTTATGTGACTCTCAGCTGGCACCGTGGAGCATTAACGTCCCCACCCTGGGCCTTGGTGCTCTGTGTTGAATGACAGAGCCTCCTGACCAGAACTTGAAGTTGGAGCAGCTCTGGCTGTGGAGGCTGAGCCCCGCCCTCCAGAGCCATCCTTGTCCCATCTCTCTGAGCAGTGTTCTTGACTCCCCCCAGGCACTGGAGCATTTTCTGTGCAGTTCTAAAACCACAGCTCCACCTCACACTGTGTTATGGGTTAGAAAAGGAGGGAGATTTTGTAGGGGAAAGCCCTGATTGTTCATGGAGTCCTGGGTGGTGGTGTCTTCCTGACGTCACAAAGGCATGGAGCTGGGGACAGTGAGTCCAGCTGGGTCCTGTGTGGGGTCTCCAGACACATTTTTTTTCTTCTAGTGGAGGAGGCTTTTGCCTTGAGGTTTTCAGGTGTGTAGAAAGCATGACTTCTCAGTGTAGGTCCTTGTCCTCCCACCTATGCCTAGAGCTGGTATGTAATCCTATAATTGTTGTCTTTTCTGTAGTCTTGAATTAGAATCTAAAATTAAACTGTTCTGTTTTGCTAGAGAAGCTCAACATATGAGATGTATGTGTTTAACTTCTTGAGTTTACAGTTTCCACAGGAGTAAATTTCTAGATCATTTGGTGTGTTTCTATTGTGAATTTTTCAATTTAATGGATATAAACTTCTCAAACACAGAGGAATGCCTATTTCATCTGATGTAAAACTTTCTCTAAACCTTGCTTAATTTTGAGCAGCGCCTTAAAGACTCCTAACAAAGCATTAGCAGAAGTTGTTTATTGTATTTATTTTTTGTTTTTTTAAATTGTATTTTAGATGAAGGTTCACAGATCATACTAGCTTCTTATTAAAAAGTTAGTACACATACTGTTTTATGACACTGGTTAACAACTCCACGACATGTCAGTACTCTCCCTTCTCGACCTTGGGTTCCCTATTGCCACCTTTCCTGTCCCCTCCTGCCTTCTAGTCCTTGCCTCTGAGCTGGTGTGCCCCTTTAACCTTGTTTTGTTTTATGAGCCTATCTAATCTTTGGATGAAGAGTGAACTTTGGGAGTGACTTCATTACTGAGCTAACAGGGTGTCCGGGGGCCATACTCTTGGGATTTCTCCAGTCTCTGTCAGACCAGTAAGTCTGGTCTTTTTTTGTGACTTAGAATTTTTTTCTACACTTCTACCAGCTCTCTCTGGGACCCTCTATTGTGGTCTCTGTCAGAGCAGTCAGTAGTGGTAACTTGGCACCATCTGGTTGTACTGGACTCAGGTGGAGGGTGTGGTAGTTGCGGTCCATTAGTCCTTTGGACTAATCTATACCTAGTGTCATTGTTTGAATTGGGTGCTCCCAAAATGTGTGTCAACTTGATTAGGCTATGATTCCCAGTATTGTGTGGTTGTCTTCCATTTTGTGATTGTAATTTTATGTTAAAGAAGATAAGGGTGGGATTGTAACACCCTTACTAAGGTCACATCCCTGATCTGGTGTAAAGGGAGTTTCCCTGGGGTGAGGCCTGTACCACCTTTTATCCACAAGAGATAAAAGGAAAGGGAAGCAAGCAGGGAGTTAGGGACCTCGTACCACCAATAAAGCAGTGCCGGGAGCAGATTGCATCCTTTGGACCTGGGGTTCCTGTGCAGAGAAGCTCCTAGTCTGGAGGAGATTGATGAGAAGGACCTTCCTCCAGAGCTGACAGAGAGAGAAAGCCTTCCCCTGGAGCTAATGCCCTGAATTTGGACTTCTAGCTTACTAGACTGTGAGAAAATAAATTTCTCTTTGTTACAGCCATCCACTTGTGGTATTTCTGTTATAGCAGCATTAGATGAGCAAGACACCTTGTATCTAGTTTTTTTCATTCTCCCTGCTCCCAAAGGGGTGAGACCAGTGGAGTATCTTAGATGGCCCCTCACAGGCTTTTAAGACCCCAGACACTACTCACAGAGTGTAGAACATCTTGTCTATAAACTATGTTATCACAATTAAGCTAGATTTTCTCTGATACCATGGTCCCCACTGTCCTCACCCCAGCAATTCAGTCCCTCAGGGAGTTTGGATGTGTGTATGGAGCTTCCATGACCTTGCCTTGTACAAGTTGTGTTGGCTTCCCCAGTATTGTGTACTGTCTTACCTTTCACCAAAGTTACCGTTTATCTGTTGTTTATGTAGTGTTTTTCCATCCCCACCCCTCCCCTCCTTTGTAACCCTCAGAGATTGTTTCTTCTTGTGGGTAAACCTTTTCATGAATTTTTATAGTAGTGGTCTCATACAATATTTGTCCTTTTGTGATTGACTTATTTCACTCAGCATAATGCTCTCCAGATTCATCTGTCGTGAGATGCTTCGCAGAGTCATCATTGTTCTTTATCGTTGCCTAGTACTTCATTGTGCCTGTGTACCATAGTTTGTTTATCCATTTATCTGTTGATGGACATCTAGGTGGTTTCCATCTTTTTGCTATTGTGAACAATGCTGCAGTGAACGTGGATGTGCATAAGTCTATTCGTGTGGCGACTCTTATTTTTCTAGAATATATTCCTAGGAGTGAGATTACTGGATTATTCGGTATTTCTATTTCTAACTTTCTAAGGGAGCGCCATATCGTTTTCCAAAATGGTTGTGCCATTTTGCATTCCCAGCAGCAGTGCATAAGGCGTTCCAGTCTCCCCACAGCTTCTCCAACATTTGTTATTTTCTGATTCGTGCCAGTAATGCCAAGGTGAGATGGTATCTCGTTGTAGTTTTGATTTGCATTTCTCTAATGGCTACTGGGAAACTCTGGTGGTGTAGTGGTTAAGAGCTACGGCTGCTAACCAGAAGGTCGGCACTTCGAATCCATCAGGCGCTCCTTGGAAACCCTATGGGGAAGTTCTGCTCTCTCCTGTAGGGTCACTATGAGTCGGAATTGACTTGACGGCAACAGGTTTTTTTTTCTTTCTGTAATGGCTAGTGATGCGAGCATTTCCTCATGTGTCTGTTAGCCGTTTGAACGTCTTCTTTGGTGAAGTGTCTGTTCATTTCCTTTATCCGTTGTTTAATTGGATTATTTGTCTTTTTGTTTTAGAGGTGTTGGATTTTCCTGTAGATTTGAGAGATTAGACCTTCGTTGGATTTTTCATAGTCAAAATTTTTTTCCCAGTCTGTAGGTTCTCTTTTTACTCTTTTGGTGAAGTCTTTGGATGAGCGTGTTTAATTTTTAGAAGACCCCAGTTATCTAGCTTATCTTCTGGAGTTTGTGTGTTGTTAGTTATGGTTTGTATCCTGTTAATGTCATGTATTAGGGTCTCTAGCATTGATCCTGTTTTTTTGTTCTAGAATCTTTATAGGTTTCGGCTTTATATTTAGGTCTTTGATTTTGAATTAGTTTTTGTGTATGGTGTGAGGTATGGGTTCTGTTTCATTTTTTTGTAGATGGATATCCAGTTTTGCCAGCACCATTTGTTAAAAAGACTGTCTTTTCCCCATTTGATGGACTTTGGGCCCTTGTGGAAGATCAGGGTGACCATAGGTGGATGGATTTACGTCTGGGTTCTCAGTTCTGTTCCATTGGTCAATGTATCTGTCATTTTACCAGTACCAGGCTGTTTTGACTACCGTAGCTGTATGGTAGATTCTGAGATCAGGTAGTGCAAGTCTTCCTAGTTTTTCTTTTTCAATAGTGCTTTATTCATCCGGGGCTGCTTCTGTTTACATATAAGGTTAATGATTAGTTTTTTTCCATCTCTTTGAAGAATGTTGTTGGTATTTGGATCGAGATTGCGTTGTATTTATAAATTTCTTTGGGTAGAATTGTCATTTTCACGATGTTGAATCTACCTATCCATGAGCATGGTATGTTTTTCCATTTATGTAGATCTCTTTTGGTTTCTTGAAGTAGTGATTTGTAGTTTTTTTTGTATAGGTTTTTTACATCTCTAGTTAGATTTAGTCCTGAGTATTTTTTTTTTTAGAGGTTATTATAAATGATATTGTTTTCATGATTTCCTTTTTATTGATGTATAGGAATCTGACTGATTTTTGTATACTTGTATCTTGCTACACTGCTGAATCTTTCTATTCTAGTAGTTTTCTCGTGGAGTCATTTGCGTTTTCTGCGTATGGTATCACATCATCTGCAAATAGGGACAGTTTTACTTCTTCATTACCAATTTGGATGCCGTTTATTTCTTTTTTTTTTTGCCTTACTGCTCTAGCTAGGACTTCCAGCACAATGTTAAATAGGAGTGGTCATAAAGTTTTTAATTTTAACAAAGTCCAGCTTGTTCACTTATTTTTGTCATGAATCGTGCCTTAATATTATATTTTAAAAAATCATTACCAAACCCAAGGTCACCTAGGTTTTCTCCTATGTTGCCTTCTTCGAGTTCTATAGTTTTGCATTCACATTTAGAGTTTTGATCCATTCTGAGTTAATGTTTGTAAAAGCTGTAAGATCTTTGTCTAGATTCCCTTTTTTGCTAGAGGATGTACAGGTGTTCCAGCACCATTTATTGAAAAGTCTGTCTTTTTTCCATTGATTTGTCTTTAGTCCTTACTCAAAGATCAGATGATTCTATTTATGTCTACTTCTGGGTTATGCCTTCTGTTCCATTGATCTGTTTATTCTTTTGCCAGTGCCACACTGTATTGATTACTGTAGCTTCAGAGTTATTCTTAAAGTGGTTAGTGTCACTTTTCCAAATTTGTTCTTCGGTATTGTGTTTACTGTTCTGAGCCTTTGCTCTTTTCATGTAAATGTTAGAAAACGTTTGTCGATAGTCACGAAATAATTTTTTGGGACTTTGGGATTGCATTGAATGTATAGATCACTTTGGGAAGAACTCGTATCTTAACAATATTGAGTTTTCCCATGCATAAACCTGGAACATCTTTGTTGTTAGATGCTTCAAGTCAGTTGCGACTCATAGTGCCCCTAAATACAACAGAACAAAGTGCTGCTGGTCCGGCGCCATCTTCACCTTCATAGTTATGATTGAGCCCATCGTAGCAGCTACTGTGTCTGTCTCCTTGAGGGTCTTCCTCTCTTTCGCTGACTCACTACTTTACCAAGCATAATTCCTTCTCCTAGGCCCAGTCCCACCTGATACATGTCCGAAGTATGTGAGATGAAGTCTCAATCTCCTTCTAAGGAGCATTCTGGCTGTACTTCTTTCCAGACAGATTTATTCATTCTTCTGGCAGTCCATGATATATTCAGTATCCTTCGACAGCACCATAATTCAAAGGCATGAGTTCTTTTTCAGTCTTCCTTGTTCATTGCCCACCTTTTGCTTGCGTATAAGGGGATTGAAAAATTCCATGGCTTGGGTCAGTCGCAACTTCGTCCTCAAAGTGACATCTTTGCTTTTCAACACTTGAAAGAGGTCTTTCGCAGCATATTTATCCAATGCAATACGTTGTTTGATTTCTTGATGGCTGCTTCCATGGGTATTGATTGTGGATCCAAGTAAAATGAAATCCTTGACAACTTTAATATCTTCTTTGTTTATGATGATGTTGATTATTGGTCCCGTTGTGAGAATTTTTGTTTTCTTTATGTTGAGGTGTAATCCATATTGAAGGCTGTAGTCTTTGATCTTCATCAGTAAGTGCTTCTAGTCTCCTTTGCTTTCAGCAAGCAAGGTTACATTATGTGCATATTGTAGGTTGTTAGTGAATCTTCCCCCAATCGTGATGCCACATTCTTTTTCATGTAGTCCAGCTTCTCGATTATTTGCTCAGCATACCGCAGTGATTTAAGTATGGTGAAAGGGTACAACCTTGATGCACACCTTTCTTTATTTTAAATCATGCAGTATCCTCTTGTTTTGTTTGAAGAACTGCCTTAACTGATTTTACTTGTGTGCATATTTATGTTATACTGTCACTGACAGCGTTGTACTTCAGAATAGATCTTGAAATGTTCATTTTGATGGTGAATGTGTCGCCTTTCCTCTTCAATTTGTCATTCCTGGCATAGTACACCATTTGATTATCCGATTCAAAATGGCCATTACCAGACCACTTTAACTCGCTGATGCCTAGGTAATTGATCTTTATGCATTCCATTTCATTTTTAACGACTTGCAATTTTCCTAGATTCACACTTCATACATTCCACGTTCTGATTACTAATGGATGTTTGCAGCTGTTTTTTCTCATTTTGAGTCATGCCACATCAGGTCCTGAAAGCTTGACTCCATCTGCTTCGTAAGGTTGACTCTACTTTGCTTCAGTATGGATTACACCTCAACATAAAGAAAACAAAAATGCAACTGGACCCGTAAGCAATATCATCATAAATAGAGAAAAGATAGACATTGTCAAGAATTTCATTTTACTTGGATCCACAGTTAACACCTATGGAAGCAGCAGTCAAGAAATCAAACACACTGTATTGGGCAAATCTGCAAAATACCTCTTTAAAGTGTTAAAAAGCAAAGACATCACCTTGAAGGTGCACCTGACTCAAGCCGTAGTATTTTCACTTCCCTTGTATGGATGTGAAAGCTGGGCAATGAATAAGGAAGACTGAAGAATTGATGCCTTTGAATTATGGTGTTGGCAAAGAATATTGGATATACCAAAAGAACAAACAAATTTGTCTTGGAAGAAGTACAACCAGAATGCTCTTACAAGTAAGGGTGGCAACACTACGTTTCACATACTTTGGACATGTTATCAGGAGGGATCAGTCCCTGGAGAAGGACATCGTGCTTGGTAAAGTAAAGGGTCAGCAAAAAAAGGAAGACCCTCAACAAGGTGGATTGACACAGTGGCTGCAACAGTGGGCTCAAGCATAACGATTGTGAGGATGGCACAGGACCGGGCAGTGTTTCATTCTGTTGTACATAGGGTCACTATGAGTCAAATCCAACTCCACGGCACCTAGCAACAACAACAACTACTTTAAGGAGGCAGCTCTTTCCCAGTCGTATTTTGAATGCCTTCCAAACTGGTGGCTCTTCCTCCAGCATCATATGAGACAATGTTCTGCTGCTTTTCATAATGATTTTTCTATTTTTTTCCGAAATAGACCGCCAGGTCCTTTTTCCTAGTCTGTCTTAATGTGGAAGCTCTGCTGAAACCTGTCCGCCATGGGTGACTCTGGTGGTATTTGAAATACTGGTGGCATAGTTTCCAGCATCACAGCAACAGGCTAGCCACTACCATATGAGAAACTGACAGACGAGTGGTGGGAACGTGAAATAGCTCTCCTTTTATTTAAACCTTTGAATCCTTTCATCAGAGTTTTGTAGTTTTTATCATATATATGTTTTGCATATATTGTTAGATTTAAGTTACTTCATTTTTGTGTTAGCAATGCGGATAGTATTGTGTTTTTAGTTTCAAATTGTACTTCCTTACTGGCATATAGAAAAGCAATTGACTTTTGTATGTTAAGCATTTGTCCTGCAACTTTATGATCGAGTATTAGTTTCATGAGTGTTATTCTTGATTTTTTGGGAACTCGTACCTAGACAAACATTTCATCTGCATACAAAAACAGGTTATTTTGTCCTTAACAGTCTGTATACTTTTCTTTCCTTGTTTTATTGCATTACTTAGGACTTCTAGTACAACGTTGAATGGGAGTGGTGAGTGGGAGCATCCTTGCCTTGTTCTCACCTTAGAAGGAAAGCATCTAGTTTTTTGCCCATAATTAGGATATTAAGTGTTATTTTATTGTAGATGTTCTTTCTCAAGTTGAGGACATTTCTTTCTTGTCCTAGTTTGCTGAGAACTTTTATTCCGAATGGGTGTTGGATTTTGTCAACTGCTTTCTCTGATGGTATTGACATTTTTATTGATTTATCTTGTTTAGTATGTTGATTTGATGGATTTTATCAGTTGGTTTTCAGAGCAGACCTTGGATCAGCCATTTTACTTTGGCGAAGTGCCCTATAATTTAGACTTATTTTTCTTGCCTTTTCTGGGCATGAAGGTTAATGGAGATGCTTGACTCCTGTGCCTCTACGTTGAGATTTGTTGACGTCAATGAGCATGTGATTTTCAAAATCATCCTAGTCTGCTTCCAAGTTTTTAGATTTGAAAGTGTGATCTTTTTTTCCCTCACGAAGCCAGGTTTCACTAGTTAATGTTTTCTAAAATGATTATTTTTCTCACTGTGCTAACTTACGAAAGATAAATATACTTGTGTTACTTGCTGCTTATTCTCTTAATGTGCTGCATTTTCTGTGGAAAGTATCGCTACTTGACGGTACATATGCATTTACCAGCCTTTTCTTTCCTTACTACACGAGGCAGCTGGTGGATTGGTGCTATTGCATAGAGGTCACTCTTACAGATGAAGGGATTCCAGTGGTCAGGATTCAGGTAGTCATGGCTATGTGCCTTCCAGGGGCTGTAAATGTGACAAAATTCGGAGTGGAGCCTCTGGAGGTCTGGTGTGTAAGTCTCTGTGTCATAGATTTCATGGAAATTAGCAGGGAAACTTCCTACATTTCAACTTACTGACAAAATTAATTTTTTGTGGTAAAAATTGTATATAACAAATCAGTTGCCAGTTGAACAATGTTTACACGTATAACTTGGTTACATTGATTATGTTTTTCATATTCTGCAGTATTAAAAATGTCAATCATAGTCTTTTCTAAATCAGTAAACGCAAGGGCATACTATTCTTGTTTCTGCAGAGGTAATACTCTTTGTTGGCTTATAACATTAGACTTTCTTTGAGGGCATGAGTTTATGTTTATTGAAGGGGCAGTCACTAATATGATTGGTGTACAGTTGCATGGGGTCTTGAAATTTGAGAACTTTAGGGAGATCTGAATTCTCATATTTCCTGTCTCACTTGAGCTCTTTTTAACTTTTATTATCTTTGCCTGTGTCTGAAAGGGACAGAGAGTATAGCAGAACAACTAAGGTTTTGAAAAATAGTTAACATGTAAAAATTCATAATTCTTCAAAAGAATGTTCTTTTTTTAGCAGTTGGACTTGTCATCTCCTGATCGCCTGGAGACCAAGAAAATGTAACTAGCTCAGGGCTTTAGGTTCCTAGTTTGTGCAGGCCCTTGGTCCTCCCATGGCTGTGAGGAGCAAAAGGAAAAACTACCATTCTGCAGTGTTTCCCAGTTGTTGATAACTCACCCTGCCTTCACCCTGTGCTTTATGTTTTTTTGAGTGTTCTGCTGTGTCTTATGGAAGAAGGTGTAATTGTTCACAAGAAAGTGATGGTTTAAATGAGAGTATGTCTCCACTTTCTACTATGTTTTCTAACTGTTTTAGACCATAAAGAGAGAAGAATAAGATTGTAATTGGTCATAGTCAACTGTGGAGAGATGGATTTCATTGTGTTGGAAGTTTGTGGGACAGGATTCAATAGTAAAGAAGTGAATGTAGTTAGTGAAGGGATGAGGCTGATGACTATACTCTAGAGTAGACCTTGGGAGAAGACAGAATGTTGTGTCAAATCTCTTTGAATTCTCAGTTCCCCAAGACTGTTAGTCTCACCCTTTTTTCTTGTACACACTGGAGTACATGGTACCTTGCTGATCCAGAATGTGTGGGATGTTTTAGGACTCAGTGGTCGTTGAGGATGTGGCCGTGGTGTTTAGCCAGGAAGAGTGGGCTTTGCTGGATCTTCCTCAGAGGAAACTCTACAGAGATGTGATGATGGAAACCTTCAGAAACCTGGACTCAATAGGTGAGAAGGGCATCATTTTTTTTTTAAATTCTTTTAGTGAACAAAAATATTTTAATGTTTGAGTTTGCTCCAGTATTTGGATTGAGGAATGGGAATAAATTGTTAAATAAAATAATCATGATCCCTTGGTCGTGAAACTCACAGATCCTGGCTTCTCTACGAAGATAAAACTATGTTAAAGTGAGTTTTCACTTTTCTTGTGATTAAAAGCCTTGAGGCTCCTTAAGTGTTGTAAATGTAAGCATTGGCTTGAGGGGTCACTATCGGGTGCTGAGAAACATGTGGTTTGAGAACTTTTAGAGAGTTTTACTGTATTTATTACAAGTTTGTCATGATTATTTTGCTGCAAATAAACTCACGTGTGTCCATCTTCAGAGACCCTGAAGAGTAAAGTATTTGCTCAAGTGTGAAGGAAATGTTTCTTGTCCTTCACTGTCTTCCCTCCTGTGCATTTCTTCATGAGCACCGTGTCAGTTATACCCATTTGTTTTCCCCAAGAAGCAAGGGAAAGATCTGAGGACAGTAGAGATAGGACTCACCCTGGGACACAGTGTTGGGAAACACCAGAAAAGCAAGAAATTTTGGAAGAACCAGCCCTGTATGGAGGCAATTACATTTGAATCAGTCAGCCAGAAGATGTCTCTTTTGGGTTGAGGACACAACTTCCCAGATACCTGAGCTCACTTTTCTGAGTTTTGCAATCTTCTCACACCTGTGGTCATGGAGACCCTTTTCCTCTTTTAATGTTCCAAGTGTATGGTATCCAATATCTTTCCGATTAACTCTGATTACACCTATTTATGTCACCGTCACTCTCAATCTTTGTCTTAGTTATCTAGTGCTGCTATAACAGAAATACTCAAGTCAGTGGCATTAGGAAGAGAAAATTATCCTTTCCCAGTTTAGGAGGGTAGAAGTCTGAATTCAGGCACCAGCTCTAGAGGAAGACTTTCTCTCACTGTCAGCTCTGGGAGAAGATACATGTCTTATTTCAACATCCGTGGGCCTGGCATTACTCGGAGATCTCCATGTGTTTTGGTATCTATCTTCCCCCGGGTATAGGTTTTTCTCAGGACCTCATCTTTCTTGGTGGTAGTCAGAACCACCCCCCCACCACTTTCTTATCTCCCCTTTTATCACTTGTAAGAAAAAATTTGATTCAAGTAGAGGTGGTGCATTTATCCTAATCATTAACATAACCTAATCATACTTCATTAACATAACGGACAGCTCACTCCCTAATGGGACCATAACCACAGTCCTAGAGAGTAGGATTTACAACACATCATTATATCAGATCACAAAATGAAGAATAACCACGCAGTACTGGAATCATGGCCTAGCAGAGTTGATACGAATTTTTTGGAGACACAGTTCAATCCGTGACAATCCTCATGGAAGTATTTCCTACTAAATTGCTTTTTAACCATTGCCAAAGTGCTAAAACTGCAAAATATGGCTAAGTCTCTCTTTGTTCACAACAGTTTTTCCCCCCTAACTATTCCTTTCCTTTTTATTTCATACTGTGAATCTCAACTTGAATTATTGAGTCAGTCTCTGGAACCCTTAATGATGGAGAAAGGTTATCCACTGAACCTACAATGATGCAACTTATGAAGAATAATACCTGGTCCTCCATGTTAGTTGAAATCTCCGAATCGCATGGCAATAAAGATCAGTATAAAAACCAGGGGAGATATTTGAGGTAAGCGTCATTCACACGAGAAAACAGTGCCTCAGGAGGAAGTCCTAAAATATCATGACGTTAAAATATAATACGTTTATATTTCTATATATATGTTAAGGTTTTCAACCAGATTGTAAAGATTCAGTGATTGCTAACTTTCAAATAAGAGAAAAAAAAGTGTCTCACAGAAAGTTCTAAAGTGTGATGGTATAAAAATATACATACGTATATTTATGTATGAATATTAGCGCTTCCCTCTGATTTGTAACGATTCAGTTATTGCCAGCATAATGAGGGCAGCACATGAGTTGCATAGCAATGAAATCTGTTGTCTGTCAGATTTTGACCTGAGTAGGAAACAATCAGCGGTGCCCTGCTCAGCGGTTGCGGCCATCCATGCCACTTTGAATGTGTGTATTTCTCCACAGTCTTGCCAGTAATCTAATCTCCTTCTTCAGCCTCCTGAAACTTTCTGGATCCATGCTGTTGGCTGCCATCTTTCGTTTGGACACAATTATCAGAAAACTTCGTATTTTAGAAAAACAGCGACAGTAATAGTAGTATTTCTGCTAGATGCTTTATACTATGAAACATAAGTGAGTGCAAAAACCACATATGTTCAGTGTAGTTAATGATGGTGAAAAGGGAAGAAATTTATTTCCAACAGTATGTTCCCTATTTTTAACAGAAGTCATACAAAAGAGAACCTCTGTGAAAGTGAAGGCAGTCAGTGTGGGAAAGCCTTCAGCTGGATTCCAAATCTTACTGGGCTGAAAAGAAATCCACTTGAATGCCGTGAGTGTGGAAAAGCCTTTATGGATCACTCAGCATGTAACCATCATACCAGATCTTTCACTGGATGCAATGCTTGTCAGTATAAGGAATGTGGAGAAGCTTGCAGTTCTCTGTCTCATCTAACCACTACAATGAGAACTCTTAATGGAAAGAAACCCCATAAATGTCAGGTACGTGGAAAAGGCTTCATTTGTGTCTCAGTCCTTAAGAATCCTGTGACAACACTCACTAATGAGAAACGCTGTGAATGTCAAAAATGTGTGAAGGATTTTTGTAGTTTCTCATCCTTTTGGACACACATGAGAGGTCAGAAGCATGAATGTAAAGAGTGTTGTAAAACCTATGGTCTTTCATCTCTCATATTAAATAAAAAATTTTATAATAGAGATAAGCTGTATGAATGTAGGGAATGTATGAAAGCTTTTAGTCATAAGTCATCCCTCATGAAACATATAAGAACTCACAGTGGAGAGAGGCCTTACGAATGTAAGGAGTGTGGCAAAGCCTTTAGTTGTTCCTCATCCCTCACTGCACATATAAGAACTCACAGTGGAGAGAAGCCTTATGAATGTAAGGAATGTGGGAAAGCCTTTAGTCGTTCCTCACACCTCACTTCACATATAAGAACTCACAGTGAAGAGAGGCCTTATGAATGTAAGCAGTGTGGGAAAGCCTTTAGTCATAACTCGTCCCTCACAAAACATGTAATAACTCACAGTGGAGAGAAACCTTATGAATGTAAGGAATGTGGGAGAACTTTCAGTCGGTCCTCATCACTCATTGCGCACGTAAGAACTCACAGTGGAGAGAGACCGTATGAATGTAAAGAATGTGGGAAAACCTTTGGAAGGTCCTCAGCCCTGAATACTCACAAAAGAACTCACAGTGGAGAGAAACCTTACGAATGTAAAGAATGTGGGAAAGCCTTTAGACATGCTTCAGTCCTCACTATACATATAAGAACTCACGGTGGAGAGAAGCCTTATGAATGTAAGGAATGTGGTAAAGCCTTTAGTCATTCCTCAGCCCTCACTGTGCATAAAAGAACTCATAGTGGAGAGAAACCTTATGAATGTCAGAAATGTGGGAAAGCCTTTAGTCAGTCCTCGAAACTCACTAGACATATACGAACTCACAGAGGAGAGGTGCCTTTTGAATGTAAAATATGTGGGAAAGTCTTTAGACGTACCTCACCCTTCACTATACATATAAGAGCTCACAGTGGAGTGAGGCCTTACAAATGTAAAGAATGTGGGAAAGCCTTTAGTTATTCCTCATCCCTCACTATGCATAAAAGAACTCACAGTAAAGAGAAACCTTATGAATATAAGGAATGTGGGATAGCCTATAGTTATTCTTCAGCCCTCACTATGCATACAAGAACTCACAGTGGAGAGAAACTTCATGAATGGAATGTAAGAAATGCGGGAAAGCCTTTAGTTGTTCCTCACACCTCACTTCACATGTAAGAACTCACAGTGGAGAGACTACTCCGTGTCAACAGTGGAGTGTTTCTTCCTTACTGCTATAATTTCAAACAGAAAATTTTCAAAATTCTGCTATCAAACAGCAAAGTTTTTCAGTAAGAAAGCAATTACTAACTCAAAGAAGGGATCAGGAGCTATTTTTTACCTATAGGAGAAGTGACAGTTTGATTGTAACTGTGGTGGTGTCCTCATCAGTGTTTGTTACTTTCTCAGTCCAAGTTAAATTTTACCTTTCTTAAAGTCTTTTGCTATTATCAATAAGGCTGCAGGTTGTAGCCTTAAAAAAGATGGTTTTATATTTTTAATGTTTTAATTGATATTATTTTACATACAGTGAAATAGATTCATCTTGTATGTGGTTTAAGAGTGTTTTGTTTTCATATTAAACATTCTTTTCCATTCTTTCCTATTGTAAAGTTAATTATTTTACTCTTATAATTAGTTTCTCATAGGGTGATACTTTGAGAATGTGCAGGTATTCTGTTTTTCATTGTACTTTGGCCTACTAATTTTAGTTTCCATATATAATTATTGCTTTTTGTTATTACTGCGAAGTTTACCAAATGTTATTTTCTGTTCTAGTCACTTTCTCTATATTTATTAATTGGAATTCTGCAAGAAATAGCTTTACATTCTTTTCCTTTTATTTACTTATTAAACTGTTTGGTTAGGTATTCAGCATCATTGTAGATCACATGCACTTGCTCCATATCTTGATTTCTGAAAATCATTGGATACGTGACATGATTATATTCATGACGTCTGAAAGGAGAATCGAGAGCACCCTGAGAATGAAGAGATGGAAGAACTACATGACTGTGGGTTTTAATTTAATAATGGAGTAAATGTAGTTAAAGGTCCAGGGAAGTGAGTGGATGTTTTGAAGAAAGAATCATTGATTTCAGAGGCACAGAGCACTTTTGGATGGCCACAGGTCCATGGAATTTGTTATCTGGGTGGAATGGAGTGGAAAATCCTCAACAATGAGGTCAATGAAACTAGAGGCCAAAATACTAGATAAAAATCCACGCAGACACTGAAATTCCTAGAAGTGATAGAGAATTTAGGAGAGAGAGAAGGATGAGCGAAATTCCAAAGTCATGAATCAGTTGAGTAAATGACTGGGAGGTGGACAGAGAACGGTAATGAAGATGAGAGAGAAGCTAGTATAGGCAAAAGGCAGTAAAGGGAACAAGGGATTTTACATGAGAGTGGAGGAAGGTCAGCCCCAGAATGGTACTAGGGATTGAAAACGATTGTGATCTCATTTCTGGAATCAGAGGTTCAGAGGTCTAAAATAAAATTCAAAGTGTTTAACAGAGTTTTAAAAATGCCGAAACGACCTGGAGAAAGAATTTTTCACTCAAACTACATTTCTACAAACAAGGTAGCTGGGAATTTCTAGAAGAAAGGTATGTTCACTTCAGCCTACCTGTGTTTTCTTTATGGGTTCTTTATCCCATTTTGCTTATCATTCCTTCAGTGTTTTTTAACTTTGATAGCTCTGCCTTATTCTGCTTGGTGTTTTTTGATACTTGTCTTTAAGTTCGTGAAATTACCCCCTGCTGTGTATCGAATGATACGGAACCCCCCTGCTAACCAAAAGGTCGGCAGTTCGAATCTACCAGCTGCTTCTTGGAAACCCTATGGGGCAGTTCTCTGTCCTTTAGGGTTGCTATGAGTCAGAATTGACTCGATGGTGATGGCTTTTGTATCTATAGTAATATCTTTTTTGTTTTCTTAATAGATAGATGTTGCTGTTTTTGTGTGCCTTCCAGTTGACTCCAACTCATAGCAACCTTATAGCAAGGCTGTAATCTTTATTGAAGCAGACTGCCGCATCTTTCTCCTGCAGAGCTGCTGGTAGGTTGGAACTTCCCACTGTTTAATTAACAGCCAAGCTCTCAACCGAGGCACCACCAGGGCTCCAGGTTTTTAATGGGGAGTTAAATGTGTTCCAAAGAGGAGAGAACTAAGTGAAAGACGCCAGTTCAAAAAAGCTACATACTGTGTGATTCCAAGTCTGTGACCTTCTGGAAAAGTGAAAACTGTAGAGGCAGCACAAACATCAGTGGTTGACAGGTTCAGGGAGAGGGAGGAGGAATGAACAGGTGGAGCACGGGATTTTTAGTGCAGTAAAACTATTCTGTGGTATACTATAGTGATGGATACTTACATTATGCATTTAGCAAAACCCATAGGACTGTACAACACAGTGAACCCTGATGAAATCTGTGGATTTTAGTTAATGATGTATCAATATTGATTTGTCAGTTGTAACAAACGTACCCCACACCACAGGAGTGCAAGTTGTTAATAGGAGAAACACTGGGTAGATGTAGGTGGGGGTGCATGGGGACTCTGTACTTTATGTACAATTTTTTAGTAAACATAAATGTCTCTACTAATAAAGTCTATTTAAAAACCATCAACAAAAAATATGGCATCCATTTTTTAAGTTATTATAACAAAGGTTGCATGGTCTTTTGAAGTTCTTTATATTTTGTTTTCTGTGAACTGACTAGACATCATTTGGTTTTCTTTTGTTTTTAACAATTGAATTTAAGAAATATTGTAAAATACATGTAACATAAACTGACATTTTAACCATCTTAAACATACAAATGCGTTACATTCACAAGATTGTGCAGCCATCACCCCATTTGCATTTTTTTCATCACCCCAAACAAACTGTACCCATTAAGCAGTAAATTCCCGTAGCTCCTCCCTCCCAGCCCCTGGTAAACATGAATAAACCTTGGTCTCTGCATTTGCTTATTCTGGACATTTCATATAAACGGACTCATACGATACTTGTTCTTTGGTGTCTGGCTTATTTCACTCGTCATAATGTCTTCAAGTTTCATCCATGTTGTAGCAAGTAGTAGGACTTCATTTCTCTTTATGGTTGAATAATTGTATGTATATGGATCCCTGGTGGTGCAGTGGTTAAAAGTTTGGCTGCTAAACAAAAGATCAGCACTTTGAGTCCATCACTCCTTAGAAACCTTATGGGGCAGTTCTCCTCTGTACTATAGAGTTGCTATGAGTTGGAATCGACTTAACTGCAACAGGTTGAATTTTGGTTTTGTTTTGTATGTATATATCATTTTATTTGTTCATGTTGTGATGGGCACTTGGGTTGTTTTCAGCTGTGTCGTGAGTAATATTTCTATGATCATTCATGTACAAATGTCTGTTTGAGTCCCTGTTTTCACTTCTTTTGGGTATATACCTAGGAGTGGAATTGCTGGGTCATAGAGTAATTCTGTGTGACTTTATCTTTTTTATATTGTAATATATATGAAACACATAAGGATCAATATACTAGACATTAGTGAGCCGAAATAGACGGGTATTGGCAATTTTGAATCAGACAACCATATGGTCTACTATGCCAGGAATGACAAATTGAAGAGGAGTGGCATTTTATTCATCATCAAAAAGAACATTTCAAGATCTGTCCTGATATACAATGCTGTCAGTGATAGGGTAATATCCCTACGCCTACAAGGAAGATCAGTTAATACAGTCATTCAAATTTACACACAAGCCCCTAATGCCAAAGATGAAGAAAGTGGGGATTTTTACAACGTATACAGTCTGAAATTGATGAAGTATGCAATCAGGATGCATTAATAGTTACTGATGATTGGAGTGCAAAAGTTGGAAACAAGAAGAAACAGTAGCTGGAAAACATGGCTTTGGTGATAGAAACAATGCAGGTGATTGCATGATAGAATCTTGAAGACCAATGACTAATTCATTGCAAATACATTTTTTCAACTACCTAAACGGTGACTGTACATGTGGGCCTCACTGAATGGGATACACAGGAATCAAATCGACTACATCTGTGGAAAGAGATGATGGAGAAGTTCAATATCATCAGTCAGAACAAGGCTGGGGGCCAACTTTGGAACAGACCATAAATTGCCTATGGAAGTTCAAGCTGAAGCAGAAGAAAATTTTAAAAAGTTCAGGGTAGCCGGAGTATGACCTCGAGTATATCCCACCTGAATTTAGAGATCATCTCATAACTAGATTTGACACATCGAACACTAATGACCGAAGACCAGACCAATTGGTAGGAGCACGTCAATTACATCATATGAGAAGAAAGCAGAAGATCATTAAAAAGACAGGAAAGATAAAAAAGACTAAAACAGATGTCAGTAGAGACTCTGAAACTTGCTCTTAAACACAGAGTAGCTTAGGTGAATGGAAGAAATAATGAAGTAAAAGAGCTGAACAGAAGATTTCAAAGGGTGTCTCAAGAAGACAAAATAAAGTATTATAATGAAATGTGTAAAGACCTGTAGTTAGAAATCCAAAAGGGAAGAATATGCTTGGTGTTTATCTAGATGAAAGAACTAAAGAAAAAATTCAGGTATTGAGTTACAATGTTGAAGGATTCTATGGGCAAGATATTGAATGATACAGGAAGCATCAAAACAAGATAGAGTAATACACAGAATCACTATAACAAAAAGAATTGGTTGACGTTCAGCTTTTTCAGGAGGTGACATCTAGAAATGATGGTATTAATTAGATGGTGCCCGGCTACCAGCACTGATTGCTGTGACAGATCACAACAGAGGGTCCCAGACAGCATGGGAGAAAATAATTCAAATTCACAAAAAAGACCAGACTTACTGGTCTGACAGGGCCTGGAGGAACCACCAAGACTATGGCCCCTGGACAGTCTGCTAACTCACAGCTGGAACCACTCCCAAATCCCACTATTCAGACAAAATTAGACAGACCTATAAAGCAAAAAACAGCACCTGTAAGTTCTTCTTATTTCAAACCAATATTCGAGACCAAATGAGCAACACCTGCCCAAAAGCAAGACAAGAAGGCAGGAGGGGACAGGAACTGGACTAATGGACACATGGAACCTGGGGTGGAAAGGGAGAGCAGGCTGTCACATTGTGGGAGTTGCAACCAGTGTCACAAAACAGTATGTGTATACATTTTTCAGTGAGAAGTTGAGCTGTAAACTTTCACCTAAAGCACAATAAAACTAAAGAAAAAAAAGAAAATTTATGGTATTGAAGGAAGAAGTCCAACCTGCACTGAAGGTATTGGTAAAAAAAAAAAAAAGAAAAAAAAAAGCTACAGGAATTAACAGAATACCAATTGAAATGTTTCA